GAGTTTATAAAAATGTTGTAATGTGAATGTAAATTTGCTTTTTGAAACTTGTGGTTGACCCTTAGAGAAGCAATAATCCCCAGAAGCTCTCTCCGTTTACCAGCCCTCAGCCATGCCCTAGCTGCCTTTAAAGGCTGCAGAAATTTGCTACTAAAAATTAAGGGTAACGTTTTTGGATCTAGCCTGACTACAAACATGACAACCAAAACCACAATAACATTTGCATCTGCTTAATTAAATATGCAGAACATGGAAGGTGAGTTAGGAGGCCTGTCATTAACCCTCCTATCAAACGCTAAGCAGCTTGGAGCCCTGTCATCCTCATTCTGCAAAAGATTTGAAATTATATTAAGATTAGAAAGATGCAAAGGGAAGTTGGTAACCTGAGTCTCCTGTATTTAACTTACAGGGAGTAGATACTGCAAACAACATTCCAAGAGTAATCTTCAACAAAGTTTTTTCTTTTTTCTAAGACAGGCTATGATTTTGTCCTCTATTTCCAATCTGTGAGATTTTAGGCAAGTTAGTTCATCTCTTTGAGCCTCAGTTTCTGCATTGATAAAATGAAAAACATCAGAACACATATCTCATTGTGTTGCTGAGAGACTATGTGAAATAATGCAAGTCACTTACTTAAAACAATCTTGAAATGTAGTAACGGCTCAATAAATGCTTACTTGCCAGACATTGAGACAAGAGGGCAGTGCTTCCATTTGATTAAGCTTCACCTCTGGTAAAGCCAATTGTGATGATCAATAGATAAATAAAGTAAACAAAATAATAACAAGAACGCACTTATTGAATGAGAATCTTGGCTCAAGTCCATCTCAGATGAATTGATTCAAATCTGATATTTATTTCAGTGAGTTCTAGACGATCTTTTAAAGTAAAGATCCTTTCAAATCCTGATAAGCTTTCCAGAAACTTTAAAAAAAAAGTTTTCCCCAAATACTTGAATTTCTTAACGATTCAACATTAACTCAAAGACAGCTCTTAAGAAAAAGGAAAAAAGCAAAGCAACTTGAAAGAATTCCAGTTTGCTTTTGAAAAAAAGGTTTATTATTTTATTTCTTTCTTATGGAAACCAGATGATATTGAAATATCTTAAAAGAACAAAGTTGGTTTTAGAAACATAATTTTAACCAAAGGAGATGGATCAGTTAAGGAAAATTTCCTTTGAAATACACTAAAAATCAGTCTGATGTGTGGCACTTTGATGTGTTAAGAACCCTAGATTCTTGAGTGCCCTTAGGTTATAATTGGAATAAACATCTCTGTTAATGTTTTGAAACTTTAGTATTAGCACGAACCCGAGATATAGCGGTGTCTGGAGACTGACGCACTCCTCAGACAAAGTTCAACAGCGATTGTCTTAAGGTTCTCTAGAAAAACATAATGAGAGAGAAAGACAGACAGGGAGACAGAGACAGAGAGAGATTGATTTACTTTAAGGAATTGACCCACGTGATTTTAGGGGGCTTGTGTCTTAGTTATCTAGAGCTGCTATAAGAGAAATACCACAGGTGAATGGCTTTAACAAAGAGAAATTTATTCTCTCACAGTTTAGGAGGCTAGAAGTCTGAATTCAGGGTGCCAGCTCCAGGGGAAGCCTTTATCTTTCTGTGGGCTCTGGGGAAAGGTCCTTGTCATCAATGTTCCCCAGTCGAGGAGCTTCTCAGAGCAGGGACCCTGGGTCCAAAGGACGCGCTATTCTCCTGGCTCTTGTTTCTTTGTGGTATGAGGTCCCCCTGTCTCTCTGCTCACTTGTTTTATACCTCCAAAGAGATTGACCCAAGACACAACCTAATCTTGTAGTTTGAGTCCTGCTTCATTAACATAACTGCTGCTAATCCTGCCTCATTAACATCATAAAGGTAGGATTTACAACATATAAGAAAATCACATCAAATCATAAAATGGCGAACAATCACATAATACTGGGAATCATGGCTTAGCCAAGTCAACATATATTTTGGGGGGACACAATTCAATCCATGACAGCCGGCAAGTCCAAAATCCATCGATCAGACAACAGACTGAAGACTCCTATGGGCTCATATGATTGTGGGGTATTGGCAAGTCCAAAGTCCGTAGGTCAAGGGACAAACTTGAAATTTCTGCAGGCTGGCATCCCAAAATTCACAGGTCAGGCAACAGGAAGAGTGAAGAGAGAGTTCTGCCAAAATATCTATTTATAGTTTGGAGGTAGAACGCACTCTAGGAAAACTCCCTTTTTGCTCTTAAGGCCTTCAACTGACTGACAGAGGCCCAGTCACCTTATGAAAAGCAGTCTGCTTTACTTACATCAAGCACTTTAATCATGTTTAGCGAGCCTATAAGAGCAACTAGTGTTTGCCAAACAACTGAACACCATAGCCTAGCCAAGGTGACACGTAAAATTAACCATCACAGCAGACAAAGATGACATTTTGTAACGTGTTTTGTTGAATTTAATTTACACTAGTCTAAGGTGTGATTATTTATGTATGTGTATGTACGGGGGGCAAACAAATTATTCAAGTCAGTTAGGAATTATTTACTAAGAATTAATCCAAGTGTGAGTATACCACTGAAAGTGAGGTGGGGAAAGAACATTGCCAAGTGTATGTTCAGATTAAAATTCAGCCAGCATATCTGGAGGTGGATGGGAGTGTGAGTAGGGTCTCTGCTGTGTACATAAGTTTGTTACTCTCCCATGTAAGAATAATTTTAGATGATCCAAATGAACACTTCGCATTATTTGAAGAACTAAAATTTCCCAGGAGCGTATAATTCTTTTAATTAGAATGTAATGTTTAAGCAAAAATGGAATGTCTGAGCTTGTATTAAGAGAAAGTCTTCTTCCTCCCTGACTCTCCCATTTCTGTGTTTTCCTCTGGGATAATGAACTCATGTTTTCTCCTTCTATTTTATTCTCCTTAGTGTATTCTCTCAGTTTCTTTCTTTTTTTTTTTTCTGATAATTCTCTCTTTTTACATTAATTTTCTTTCTTTTCCGTCTTCCACACTTTCTGCCAAAAATTTCCTTAGAAATAAATGGTTTTCAGTTCAGAAAAGATGCATGTAAATAGCTAACAGGGAATCAAGGAAAATATCAAGTTAGATATATAAAGTTTTGTTTTAGAAATAACAGTAAAACCCAACACCATAACGTAGAGAAATAAATTTAATAAAACTAGTGACTTTTTTTTTTGCTTACTGTATTTCAGGACCAAACCCATTGCCACTGAGTGGATTCTGACTCATAGTGACCCTATAGGACAGAGTATAACTGCCCCATAGGGTTTCCAAGGCCATAAACATTTATGGAAGTAGACTGCCACATCTTTCTCTCGCAGAGCGGCTGGTGGGTTCAAACAGATGAGCTTTCGTCTATCAACTGAGTGCTTAACTACTGTGCCACCAGGGCTCCACTAACATCACCAGGGCACCTATATTTCAGAAAGATTTTCATATAGTAGGAGAAGAAATACGCTGCTGTATGCAACACAAGCTTATTTCATTCATATCTCTCTAGTATGTGTAGTTTTGTTTTGTTTTGTTTTGTTTGTTTGTTTTTAGTGCCAGAAATGTGGAATAAGATTGTTCTTGTCCTTTGACTTCAGGAACTGTTCACCTTACAACAACCAGGGATATATCTTTAATACCCACCATTTGTTTCCCAACCTTGCACATAAAATGGAGAAACCCATGTGCCAAATACAAGAAACTGGTGGTGCAGTGGTTAAGCGGTTGGCTGCTAAACAAAAGGCTGGCAGTTCAAATCCACCAGCCACTCCTTGGAAACCCTATGGGGCAGTTCTACTCTGTCCTATAGGTTCGCTGTGAGTCGGAATCGACTTGACTGCAATGGGTTTTTGTTTGTTTGTTTAGATAAAGATATAGTTCCTTCCTTAAATGGTTCTAATGAGATACAAATTCCTAAATTACTCATTTCAAATGGCCTCCGCTCAAGTAAACTTATCATGGAACTACTTATTAATTAGATTTATTCTTCTTTTTCCGGTTTAATCTTATAAAATGTGGCTCTCTCAGAAGTATCTCTTTGGATACAAAATGTAGGACTTGTATGATAACTTTTTTTTTTAACACCTAGCATAGCCTTAAAGCATTAAGGCACATAAACCCCCTCCTTTTTTTTTTTCCTCAGTGATGGTAAGCAGGCATTATTCCCATTACACTGTTCTAATTGCTTTAAAAGACGTCAGAAGATCTCAGAACAGGGAAGGGATTATTTTCATGGCTGTCATGCTCTGCGTTCTTAAGTATCCAATGTATTCTCTGTCTCTGAGTCTGTTTCTAGTGCCAAAAACCTGGTTAACAGGAATTACATCTGATTATGATTATGTAGCGGATATCTTAATTTTGCATGTGCGCTCTATCAGACAATATACATCGATATGAATTATATCTCAGTGTGTAAGAATAAACCCTAGAGCTATTTAGATCTTTGTATTGTGCTTCCTAGCTCTTTTGTCTTTTAAGCTATTATATATCTCACTGTAATAATAGTGAATTATATTTGGCAAAGTAGCCTTCTTTTATTAAAGCTGCATTTTAGTTTGACATTACAAACAACTGGCTTTAAAAATGTGATTGGGCTTAATATCTTTTTAGATCTGTTTTGGAGATATGCTTACCACAAAAAATGTACCGCTTGGGAATTTGGTAAACTAGCTGATAATAGGATACATCATTTTTAGTTTACAGGAAAAAGCAAATGCTTCATTTTTCTTGCTGTTGTTCTTGTTGTTTACTATATCAAAAAGGAAATACAATTTTTAGCTAGCTATGTTCATGTGAGTCCAGATACTATTTGATGAAACAAGTCAAGTGGGAAAACTTCCATTTCTTTGTGCTGACACATCAGACATGGCCTTATCTCTAAAAACATTAAGAATGATAGACTGAGGTCTCCCTATCTTGCTTTTCCGAATATCTTTAGTAGAGCTGCTTTCGAACTAATAGAAACAGCTAAATTATGATATGTTTACCTTACAGGAGCCAATGAGAAAGAAATAGCTCTAATGAATGGTTTGACTGTTAATTTACATCTTCTACTGGTAAGTTCCCTTCCCCACCAATGTTTAGTATACACTCATTTACAGAATCTGACGTTTTTCTATCTTTAATTCATGAGCATCTGGTGGTTTACTTATTTTTAAATAAGTTGTGAGGTTATTTTCGTTCTTACCAGAAAGTGCTGGACCATGATATAATGGCTTCTTTATAATCGTAGGAGAGTTGACTCTTGCAAAGAGCTTTAGAATAATAAACAGTTCTTATCTCAGAACATAAGGAATAAGAATTACAGTGAGTAAAAAGGAAAACTGCATAGTAGTATACACAAAACAACGATGTACAAATACTATCAAAGCATTAAACTTTTTAGAAAGATACCTTTCCAAAATACTGGACTTTAGCAGAGCAGGATCATGGATCAGTGTGTTTTTGTGGATTAATATTTTGGAGGTGGGTTAAAAGGGAACTGGAAAATAAAACTAATGTGGAAAAAGGATCTAGTACCTTAAGCAAGTTGCTATGTTTAAAGTATTTCATCCTAGATAATAAATATTTACGCCTTAAAACATCAAATATAGTCTTGATTTGGGATATGGTATCTATAGTAATTGCTTGATGCTTAAAAAATTTAGATTCATTTTCTAAGTATGTTTTGGAAACATGTCTACATGAATACGCTGAAGATATTCATGTTTTATTTAAATAAAATAAAGAAATGGTTATTGAGAAATGCCTGAAGGAACGTGGCTGTGAAGTTTTAAGTTTGGTGGTAAGCAGCACAGTTGTTAAATCCAGATACTCCTGCGGTTGACTTCCAACTAAGTTACTGAATGCCTGTTTGACTTTGGACAAGGTTTTTTTCATCTCTAAGTCTTTTGTTCTCTGTAAGAATGAAGACACTAATACCTACCCATAGATCCGCCCAAGGATTAAGTGTGAAAATTGTTTTAGCACCCTGGCACATCATCAACACCTAATTAACAGTAGTTATCACTGTTATTGTTAACATTGTTATTCCCATTGTCCGGGAACCACCTGGAGAAATGAAAGGGCCCAACTGAACAAATAAGCTACTTGTCCCTGGTGGCTCTAGAAATGGCCATTGTCTCACATAAAGGCTGAGGTATTTTTAGTTGAACCTAAAATAAAATCCCACAAAATAATAAAAAAGTGGTAACATTCTGTAATGGAAACCAGAGTAGCAATGAAAGATAAATCAGTATAAATATGATATCCATAGAACATGATATTTCAGTCTCATGTTAGAGAAATTACCATTAAATACTTGGGGAAGATAATTTTGCAATTAAAATTTTAAGTAAAGTTTGAGAATTTATTTTCATCTGATTCACATTCTCCCTTGGGCTTGCTTTTTACTGATAAATATAATGAGCCAGTATCTTCCTCCGCTTTATAATTCATTGGAATCAAGGCTAATTGGTAAAGGTACCCTTGACAGACATCATAGATGTTTAATTGATGACTGTAAAATGCTGGAGATTATAAAATGACAGTGTGATATAAAATGAACAAATGAATAAAGTGTGAATTAATGCTTTTTCAATAAATCCATTTCATTGCAGTTATCATTTTTCAAGCCTACACCAAAACGGTATAAAATTCTTCTAGAAGCCAAAGCCTTCCCTTCAGATCATGTAAGGATATCTTCAAATTATATTTATATTCTTCTACCCTTCCTAGAGGAGCATATCATTTGACTGACTTAAATGTTTGTTCAATAGTCTTTTCAAAGTAACCTTACAATAAAGAGATGTTAAATGCTTTTGATTTAGGCATTTTTTAATAGATTGTAGCTTTATTTCTTTTGTGCAAGTAAAGCATGTGCTGAGGGAGGAAAAGACTGAATAGGAACAATAACTTATTAGTCTTTTTAAAGACATTGAGCAAACTGCTGATCTAAATCAAGTGCAGTTATAAATGTTTTATTAATTCTTGTTGCTGTTTTACTTTAAAAATCAAATCAATACAAATCCTGGTGCTTAACCCTTTAGCTACTTACAATAGGAATATAAAATTTTATTTGTCCCTTGGTTTTCGTAGTATGCTACAATAATAATTGGTGCTTTAGTATCTAAAAAGTTATTTACTAAAGATTAAACATATTTCTTGTGATGCACTAAAAAAGTTTTTATTTCATCAGCAGTTCAGTTGATAAAAAAATTGATTTTTCAGGCAGATGAAAATATGTTGCACATTTCAGTTTTAGTGTTAAAGAAACTTGATTTCTGAGTTTCATATTGCCATTATGAACTATCGTAGCTCACATTTTGTGTAATTTTGGAGCACTTAATTATGCTCAAATCAATTACCATTACTAAAAAGGAGATAAACACTAATATCTTGAAAACATTCAAGATCTTTATATCTGATTGTCCTCCATGTACTGTCAATGAAATAAACTTTTTTATTGTGTAAATAGTTACAATTTCGACGTTTTTACATGTACAATTCAGTGGCGTTAACTATGTTCACCATGTTGTACAACCATCACCACTATCTGCTTCCACACTTTTCCATCCCCTTAAAAGAAGCTTAGTCTCCCCTGAAATCAACTATTATTAATGACTTTTCCTTTTAATAACCTACTCTTCCTAGGTCCTGTGTTCAAGCATAACAAGCCCATACTACTCACTTTGTTATTTTATAAACTTTAGTTTTGACTTAGATAAGATGATTTAATAACTTACTCTAAAAATCTCTTTAAATTCTTAAAGTTTAGATGACCTGTAAGTTTTCATCTATCTCTAGTCAATGTTTCCAAGAGTGTTCAGATTTCCATGTAAATTATATTAAGCGGTTCTTTTCTGAAGTGTTCTGTTTAGTTATTTTGACCTTGGACTTAATATAATGATATACTTTTTTGTTACGTTATTATTTATTTTTCAGAGTTGTTACTTGAATGTGCTTCTGTGCATTGGTTTTGATTAAATACATCATCCTTCTTTTCCAGTATGCTGTTGAGTCACAGCTTCAACTTCATGGACTTAACGTTGAGAAAAGTATGCGGATTATAAAGCCAAGAGAGGTATATGAGAAAAAGAAATAAATATTCATCATTCTTTTATTTAGTATTGATTTTTTCTTCAGTTTTCCTCAAAAGTTTATTCCTTTCATTACTTTAATGGAACTTTCAAGAAAATATAAAAAAACCTATACTTCTGTTAATATTATGGAATTTGCTTAAACTGAAAATTAGCTCAGAAGTGTTTTTATATTCAGTTTCCAAGGGATAGCCATATGGCAAGCAAACTATTTTTCTATTAATATCACTGGAATCTGCCATATTATTCATTGAAATGGGAGATGGACAATTTGCTATAGCATTTTCAAGTTTGAATACTCTTGCCTGTATGTAGCAACAAAATCATGCTGAAGACCAGTGACTTGTGTTGAACATTCCAGTTGCTATGAATGTTGACTATCTTTATGTTTCTTGTTAAGTGTCAAATGCTTTCCTTAGCGTTTAGACTGGGGTGTAGAAAGGGTAAGGTGTAGTGGAAGGAACTTGAGTTTTGCAGCCTGGCTGATTTACCCTAGTCCCATCCCAGACCCAGCAATTACTGGACATGTGACTTTGAGAAAGTTATTTTTTCTCTGAGAGACTCCTTTATGTTAAAACAGGTAACTAAGGATTTGTCTAATCAGGCTTGACCATATGTTCAAGATCTAAAATACTGTGCACTTCCCATTAATAGAGATATAAGGCCAAGTTGTACAGACTTTGACATATAAACCCTGCAGCTTCTGTAATTTGGCACCAAGAGAATCAGACAGAATAAATTTTAGGTTTTAGATACAATGCTCCCAGGCTGTTAAACCAATGTTTGAACAATTATTTCTTTCAACCCAGAATTACTTTGAAGAAATTAAACACCTATTCTATTCTCTTTGCCAACATGCAATAAATTAATGGAATAAAAAGGTCTCACTTGTAAGAAGATATCTGTATCATATGCCATATATAAATTACTAACTTCTCATATAAATGAATATTAAAAAAAAAAAAACCAAACCCATTGCTGTCGAATTGATTCCAACTCATAGCAACCCAATAGAGCAGAGTAGAACTGCCCTATAGGTTTTCTAAGGAGCAGCTGGTAGATTCGAACTACTGACCTTTTGATTAGCAGCCAAATGCTTAACCACTGTGCCACCAGGGCCCCATAAATGAATATAACCACTAATATATCATACATGTTATTGTTAGCAGTGTAGTAGAGCTTCATGAGTTAACCCTAATCTTGGGATGACTTTTTAGCATCACCACTCTGTTTATTTATTTTTAATTTTATTGTTGTTGTTGTTGAAAATATATACAGCAAAACATACAGCAGTTCAACGTTTCTACATGTACAATTTCGTGACATTGATTACATTCTTTAAGTTGTGCAACCATTTTCACCCTACTTCTCTGAGTTATGCCTCTCCTATTAACATAAACTCACTGCTCCCCCCCCCCCC